GGGGGGGGGGGGGGGGAGAACAATGCCCGGAAAGTAGAAAGAGGGGAGTGAAGCGCCCTCTGCTTTCAGCAGGAGACCACGTGTAGGATGTGGACAAAAGAACTACAACTCCCAGCATGCCGCGCGGCTCCCCGCCCTCCCCGCCCCCCCCTCCAGCTGCTCCCCTCCCGCATTGCTGCAGCAGGTTCAGCTCGGCGGAGGGGGAGGCGGCGGCGGTGCAGGTGGACGCGGCGGCGGCAGGAAGCAGTCGGCCGCCCAGCTCGGCCCCTTCAGCAGCCATGCGGGAGGCGCAGCCCGCCCGCCGCGCGCCTCTGGCAGCCGGGCGCGGGGGGATGCGGGGCTGACAGCCGCCGGCGGGGGAGACGGGAGCCGCCGCAGCGCGGGGTCCGCTGGGGGACGGTCCTGCCCTAGGCGGGGAGCGGAGAGGCCTGTCGGGCCAAGGGGTAAGTGGGGGGGCCCCCGCCTCGTCCCAGTCTGTCCCCCTGGGCTGCTCACCCCCGGCCTGGGGCATGGGGCGGGGCAGGGCGGGGCGGGGAAGCCCTCGCTGCCGGTGTGGGGAGAGATGGAAGGAGGCTACGGTGACCTTTCCCTCCCCTTGTTGGGTGGGTCTCCCCACAGAGCAGCAGCCTGGTACAGAGATCCCCTGGTGGGCTGATGTAGGTCGGGAAACCCACTGCTGCGCTTCTCTGTGTGTGTCTTTCTGTGGGGAGAGGCTGCTGTGAAAGGGGGAAGGGCGTGGGGTGTTTGCTGGGGGGGCATCACCCCCAGAAATGGGGGTTTAGGCTCCCTGCCGTGACTGAGCAGGATTGGTTTATGGGGGGGTGCGGGGTGGGGATGCTGGAAGGGAATGGGAAATCGCCGTCACCTCTCTTTGGCTACATGACTCTGGTCCCCCTCTTGCTTTTAGCCCCAGTGTCGGTAGTTGAAAAGAGAGACTGCAGCTTTCTTTCCCTTTCCATCTGCAAACTTGCCCTTGGACAGAAGATCCGCCTGCTGCAATGGACCCGAGTCAGGTGGCGGTGCGAGGGTTCCTAATGTGACTGCCTAGCAAACTGTGGAGCTCTCCCTGTGTATCCCAGCTGGGTAGGAATGTAGTACAGCCCCTTTCTGAAAGAAACCAGGGGGAGGTGCAGGGTTTGATGGCAAACCCTGTTTGGAGTCTCCAAACAGTGCAGTGACCAAACAGGGGACAAAAGCCTGGGTCATGCATTGTATTCTTAGTTGTATTCTTAGTTCAACCTCTATGTTGTCTAAATATAAGAGATGCTTTCTTGGTAGCATGAAACGGGGCCTGGTGTATATTGCTGTTGTCAACAGTGCACCCAAAAGTGTGCTGGGCTCTCTGTGATCCAATTGGAAAGGCAAGCTCTTTGCCTGGAAGCACCTACCGTTAGTTGCCAAAAAAAAAAAAAATCTCTTGAGCGTTGTTAGTTGTTGTATCTCTCTGATGCTCATGGGTCACATCCTGTTCCTGTCTGGTAGACCATGAAGGTCTTCCTTATACACTGCCACTGTTTTCCACTCCCTCCCCCTTAAGTTCTTCATATCAGAGAAGAGTGAATCACTGACCCTCTGCATCTTTCTTTAACATAGTGCATCTGCCGGGCAGGCCCGGTTAAGCTCAATCATCTCTTTTTATGACTCTGCTAGTGACCTTTGCACTTGGTTGGGTAATGTAAGAGATTTGATTGATACCATTATCTCAAAGGAGCAGAAAGAACGTAGGTAAGAACAGGAGGCTCAATTGAGAGCTGGTGTAACATATCTGCAAACTGGCCCCTTTAAGTTAGGTTCAGTAGAGAGACGTCCAAATACACTGGCCACACCAGCATTCGTTGCTGTCTCTGGAGTTGCCCCTGTTGACATCAGCGCTGAGTCTTGCCAAAACTTTCTCCAGTTCTCTGTAGCTTGCAGGCTGAGGGTTTGTGTCTTCCTGGGCCTTGCTCAGCCTGCTTTGAAGGATAATGTCTGTTTCAGAGGGAATAATGGGACTGTGGGGGTTTATTGGACCTGGAAAGAACTTTGAGATCCTCAGTTGAAAGAATCATAGAATATCAGGGTTGGAAGGCACCTCAGGAGGTCATCTAGTCCAACCCCCTGCTCAAAGCAGGACCAGTTCCCAACTAAATCATCCCAGCCAGGGCTTTGTCAAGCGTGACCTTAAAAACCTCTAAGGAAGGAGAGTCCACCACCTCCCTAGGTAACCCATTCCAGTGCTTCACCACCCTCCTAGTGAAAGGGTCTCTGTACCTGTATATTATGTATTTGTGGGACTGCTGCCCCAGTCGGGAGGGTTTAATAGGACCCATGATTCCTGGTGTAGGAGAGAAAGCAGGAGGGAACGCTGGAGGAGATGGCATGAGAGAGATGGGCATTGGGTGGAACCACGGAGAGCTAGGGAAAAGAAGAGAAGTAGTAAAATGCAGTAAAAGAATGGAAGTCAGTGGAGAGGTTAAAGAATGGGGAAGACATGGCTAGAGCAGTAGTCTTAGCAGCTGTACTTTAGCTGGTGTGGCGGGGGAGAGGCATGGCATAGGAAGTGCTTGCAACTGAAGTTCCCAGAGGATGGGCTGTCCTCTGTGTAGAGAGGAAGGGATGGATTTTTGGAGCTATTGCAAAGAAAGAGGCTGCAGGATTTGGTGAGGGTTTAGGTGCCAGGGGAGGAGGAAAAAGAGGAAGCAGAGCCAGCCAGCACTGATGCAAGCTGGAGTGATGGGAAGAGTGCTGGCATGGCCGATGCTGATGGGACCAGGGCAGAGAAGGAAGGTGTAACAGGAAGTGTGGAGTCAGCACCCTGTCACTCAAATCCTCACCGGTATACATTACTTGGGACCTGATTGAAAGACAGGCAGTTGGCAGGCCAATTAACTGTCTGAGGGGCTAATTGGGTGGAAGTAACCCCAGCAGCTGGGACTATAGAAACAGACAGGAAGGATGTGCCAGGGAAGAGAGTAGGGAACCTGAAGGCAGGTGGGTGGGCTGGTCCTAACACTACTCTTCCTCAGAGGCAGGCAGGGGGAAGCTGGCTACTTATCGTAAATAGCATGTAAATAACACTCCAGGAGGTCGCTTGCTGACGGGCTATAATCAAGCCTGCTGGTGGTTCAGAACACCTGAAGTGGAGGTGGTGGTCTGTTACTGAGGCTGGAAAAGACTTTCAGGGGACCACTATGTGACAGAAGAGTTGGAAGGAAAGATTGGCGCAACCGTGGATGAGAACTAAGAGGTAGGCTGGGTTGTGGGCTCTCTAGGAACCTGGCCACACTCTCGCAGACAATTGGATTGTGCCCTTTCTGGCTGGGTGCTGAAATGAAGTCCTGCAGGATACAAGATCCTGCTCAGATCTCCTTTGACGTTGGAGCATTGTTCCTGTGCTAGGCAAGACAGCCCATGAAAGGTATGGAAGCTGGAGTCACTCCAGAATAGTGAGGCTTCAGTGACACACACGTGCATCACTGGGGAAGGGAGGAGCTGTTTGCATCACCTCCTTACCCTGAAGGGCAGGTCCTCCAGGGAGGTCATATGTTAATCCACGTACCCCCACAGCCGCCCTACGTGTGTCCCACACAAAAGAGAGTGTGGCTCACTTTTGGGGCATTGGTGGCTGCCTGGTTGTCCTTCCAAAAGGAGGCGGTTGCAGGCACCTTGCATAGTGGTAACCATCTCCATCTTTGGGTGGCCCTCACCGGTCCACAATCCCATTGTTTTTCCCTGTAGAAATATCACGACCACCAAGCCCGGCCTCTCCTGTTTTTGCTGGGGGAGCTCTGGGGATATTACTTGGGAGCTCTCACCCCCTAATGATCGGGGATTAGGTCTCTCATGGGGCGCTGCGGCTAAATAAGTATTCACAAAAGCAAGCTAGCAGGAAAGAGTTGGAATCTGCCTGGCTAACTCCCCTCCTCTCCTGGGTGCTTGCCTCATTTGGCTCCTGGGCTGATACCTCACTGGCTCTCCAGTTTCCAGGTCTCATCTGTACTAGGAAAACTAGGAGCAGTAAATCGCCATCACAGAACTGCCCCCTGCAGTGAGTGAGTTACGGGCCCTAATTTTCCTTGTGCCGGTGCAGCCAGACAAGCCCTGAATTCCTAATGTAAAAATCAAGCAGGAGCTAAAGACCAGGTTTGAGCAAAGCTTCCCAGGCCCCCGCTTTATGCCAGGAAGGAGCAGAAATGGGCACAAGCCCAACATCACGGCCTGTCTTGGGAGCAGCTCCTGCACCTTGATGCTTTGTGAGATTGCTGGGATGCCCTGAGGAGGTTCCAGAGGGTGGGACTCAGGTTTTTTTGCTCCTGGCTGAGTGCTGCCTGCAATCCCAGCACTTCTGCATCTAATGATCTGACTCCCTTCTGCAGGCATCTGGAGTGACTTGGTTAAGTGTGTGTCCAGCTCCGTCTCCCCTGGGAAATTGGGAGTGCTTGGCACACAGCCAGCTTGGCGGTGGAACACCAAATGCCTCAGAAAACATGTGGAACTGGCTGGAGAGGGACAGACAGACACGGTGCTTTGAGCAGGGTGCCCAAATCAGCATTGTGATCTGCATTAAATGCTGGTGTTTGTAGGAGGTTTGTGAGTCTGATACCCATGGAAAGAGGCTAACTGTGGCTCAGGGAAAGTTTCCCCCAGTCCTGCAGTGAAATCTACATGGTCAAATCCCTGCATGGAGTTCCTCTGTAGTCAGTAGGGCCCCTTGTGAGTACAGGGCTTTGCCCACAGATGGAGCAGCTTGCAGGAGTGGGGCTTAGATGGGCTGCAATGAGTAATGCTTTTTCCCCCCTATGTAAGCACAAATATGTTTGTACAGCACCAAGCGCGATAGGGCCCTGACCCTGACTGGGGCCTCTCAGAACTTCTGTAATACAAATACCCACCTACCTTATTATCGTAGCTATCTGTGATGCTCCCCATTATACCCATTTTACAGATCAGGGAACCAAAGCATGGAGGTTCAGTGGAAGAACCAGGAACAGAGCCCCACTCTGCTTCCCCAGCTCTTCCCCCGACAGAACCACTGTATTACAACACAATGTGCCAAACAAAGAGCAGGTCCCTGCCCAGGTGAAAGGCAGGTGTCTCAGGGAATGGGTGTGTTCTTGGGAGCTTTCAGGAGGAGGGGGGTAAGGAGAGAGCTTATGGATGTTAATATGGAGCAGGCAGGGCTGGAAGTTTGGGAGAGTCTGAGATCCTTGAACTGGGGGAGGGATTGCACACAACATTCCCAGGAAATCTGAGTCCATGATCATGTATGGGTGTTATAGGAGTTCCTAGGGAATCCAGTCAGTAACCAGGGCCCCCCTGTGCATCCTCATTTTATTGTCTCCTCAGATGTGCATCAGGGCTCACATCCCTGGGTTAGATTCCTGCATTAACAGCCTGTCTGCAATAAGCAGGATATTCTCTGCGGCCCTCAGCACTGCTGTAGCTAACCTCGGAGGAGAGGGAGAAGTGTGTGATGCCAAAGAGATGGATCCTTCAGTGAGCTCAACAGCAGCCGCGCTCCCACGTTTGTCTGGGGAGAGTGAATCCCAGGGGATGACTGCACAGAGCACCCCATCTCCCCCAGGCTTCACCCGGGGACCAGAGAACTGAAAGAATCCTGGCCAGAGCTTGTAATTGTGAGGGGATCCCCTGCTGCCCTGATCATCCTCAAGAATGAATAGGAAATGATGTGTTAATTTCCTTCCCTTACACCCTGTGTCAGGAAGGACCAGCCTTATCTGTGGGGCCTTGAGCTCCCGGCCTGGGAGATTAGCCTGTGGTTGCCTTCCCCGCTTGATGCGTAGCTGCTACGTGGAAGGATCCCTCTATAGGTTGCCGCCCTTCTGCGCCACTGCCAGTGAAAGTGTCAGCCCACAGGGGTGGCCTCCCCATCTGGTCTGGCTGCCGCCATGGGGGCAGGAAGGTGGAAATGCAGGAGGAGAGTCACCGCTGACCTGTGAGTCTGTAGGGGAGAGTGTCTAGCAGCGTGTGCTTGAGGCTGATCACTGGCATTGCCCTGTGCCCCTTGGGAGGAAGGCATGAAGGCTATGCCTACGCAGCCCCCTAGCCCTGGTCATTGTTCTGCTGCCCCCTGGCGGTGCACATCTGGGACACACATCTGATCTGTTCCAGGAGCCCATCTGTGACCACGTTACCTGGGCTCCGCTTTCTAGGTCAGATCTGGCTGCACCTCAGCTAGGCAGTGGCATGATCATATGAGAACCTGCAAACCCTTACAGAGCTCAAAGGACTTAAATCCTGTTTTCTGTCCTAGTTCCTGTTATGTGCATGTGTGGGTTGAGGTTTTTTTTAAGTCCTGTCAAAGGAGCATGCAAAGCTGAAATGCTTAGTAGGCCATGTGGTCGAGCACTTAGAGCCAGAGCGTGGGGTGCAGGAGGAGCTAGCCCCATTGAGTCACCAACTTGCCAGGGCACGGCCGGAGAGTCGAATCCGCTTTGGTCATGGCAGAATTGGGGTAAAGGGAAAGGAGGAGCCTCAGTATAAATTGGAGGCTGATGCTGAGGTTTGAAACATACTTGTCACTGATGCATTGCTTTCCAGCCACTGTCTGACAACTGCACAATGGTCCCATGTGTATTATCCCCAATTTACACATGGGGAAACTGAGGCAAGGAGGTGGCGTTACTTGTCCAAGGCCACAGAGAGTCTGTGTCAGAACTGGGATTAGGCCTCTGTTTCCCAGTCTTGTGCTCCAGCTACTGGCACACGCCTCTCCGCTATCTCAGTATCTGTCAGATTATGTCCCCGTGTGCAGCTCCCCAAATGTGAAGGGCCATATCTCTGGCAGGTGTAAATCAGCAGAGCTCCACTGGCTTGACTGCAGGGTGTCTCTGTGACGTGAACGGCGCTACATCGATTTACACCAACGGGGGTTTGGCCCACTGGGTTTCCCATACGGTGCTGTGGAACAGAAATCTGCCTGGCTCGTTCCCTGGTTCTTATCCTGCCATTTTACCTTCTCCCAGTTCCACCCTGTGTCCCATGCTTCCCCCGGAATTTCATGACGATTCTAGTTCATGCGTGTGGTAGTTTGCTGAGGTTATGGTCTCAGTCCCGGGAGACACCTGCTTTGCGCAGGGCTAGACACTATTGGCTCTTCTCAAACCAGCAGATGGAGCCACGTCTACACCACCCTGGTGAGCTGTGCTCAGGGGTACGTGGCGAAGTGCAGCCCCAGCCAGAGGCCACGAGACACCCTGGCAGTTGTCGTTTCAGACGGTGCCTATTGGTAGCATCTGCTGCTACCAGTCAGTTTACAGGGAAGCCCAACAGGGTGCCATGCAGGGGTTCAGTCCTGCTTGCCTTACTGCCATGCATGGCCTGCGTAAGGGGAGCAGAATTTAGCCCATGTTGCCCTCCCCATTCCCACCTTGACACCTCCCAAAGCAGGGAAATTGCAGTTTCTTTGTCACTCCTACTTCAGGTTGGCGTCTGCCTTGGGGATCCCCTGGGAAGCATCAGAGTGAAAACCGGCGACTGATCTCCACCGTCTCTCCCCCACAGGCCAAGATGTTGCGGCTGGCTGCCCTCGCCGCGCTCTTTGTGCTCTTCAGGCTGGTCCTGAAGCTCTCCTGGGTCCAGGTGATCCCTGCCCTCTTCATATTCTACTTGGGCTCCGGGGGATGGAAATTCCTGCGCATCGTCTTCAAGACAATAAGGAGGGACGTCACGTAAGTGTCCTCGCTGGAAACTGCCCTCTCTCTGTCCTGTTTGCATTAAGGTGACCCCCGGCACGGAACCGGGTAGGGGAAGCATCCTGCTGTGGCTGGGGCAATGCAGGGATGAGAGGGAAGAGCTCTGAAAACCAGCATCTTGCCTACACCTCAGCCCCCTGCTGAGGTTACTCAGGCAGCTCAGTGAGGAACACAGCCCCTGCCAGGCGAGGGAGGGAGTTGCTTTTGGGACCTGAGATCTCTCTGAAATCTCTGGCCGAGTCTCTCCGAGATATGATTGCAGCTGAGATCCCGAGGCTGGCGACTGTCTCTGACCTTGGACTTCCCTCGGTCCCTAAAAACGCTGACTTGGCAGTCGGGTGTCTGCACTCTGGACCTGGCTCTCTGAGCCGGGGCCAAGGAGAATGTCCCGGGATCAAGGACGAGCTGGCTTCTAGCGAGGAGTCCTGGGGGTGTGGCTCGGAGGGAACAGGTGCCCCGTGGCCTGTTGCACAATATCTGCTGCCCCGCGGTGGCAGGGCTGTTCCTTTAGCTCATCTGGGGGTTGGGGAGGAGCATTTGTAATCCACTGTGAGGGGAAGGGGCTGGGTTCTACCCCCTTCCCTGCTGCTTGGGTGTAATCCGTTTCTGGTTATAAAGGGTCTCTCTGGAAAGCTCCACACACAGATCCCCTGCTCCCCCTGAGCGATGGGAGGGAGACCCACAGTCTAGGCTGGGTCTGGTTGCATGGCCTCCATGTGGATCAGTGCAGAGAATCTTCTGTCCGGTTTGGTTGGCAGCACGGGGCTAGTCCTGCTGAGGGTGAAGTGGCAGGTGTGGCGGCACTTGAGGGGGAAGAACACCATCCCCAAGATCTTCCAGGAGACGGTCCGCAAGCACCCGGAGAAGACGGCGCTGATCTTCCAGGGAACGGGTGAGAGCTGGACCTTCCACCAGCTGGATGAGTACTCCAACCAGGTGGCCAACTACCTGTATGAGCAGGGCTTCCGCTCTGGCGACGTTGTGGCCTTGTTCATGGAGTCCCGCAACCAGTACGTGGGCCTCTGGCTGGGGATGGCCAAGATTGGGGTGGAGGCGGCACTCGTGAACTCCCACCTGCGCATGGAGGCCCTGCTGCATTGCATCAACATCTCCAACTCCAAGGCCGTGGTGTTCGGGGCCGAGATGATGGAAGGTGAGAGGAGTCAGTCGGTCGTGTCCCCCAGTGCTTGGAGGTGGCAAAGTAGTTGGGCCTCCCAACGCTGTGCTCCTTCCCCTTCTCCCCCCATCTTTGCTGGCTAGTCTGGCTCGGTGGTAAGAGTAGCCGCGGCTGCTCTCCTAGGGTGGGTCTCTGAGCTGCTGTAGGGGGGTGAGTGGGGTGATTCCAGGAGGGCTACTGGCATGAGACCCCCTGGCTCTGTTGCTGGAAGGTGAGACAGAGCTGGCCTTGAGGTGGGGTGCATTTTGGCTTAGGGGAGTGTGGGTGTCACCAGGGGCCACCCAGTGGGGTAGGTAGGGAGTCAAGAATTGTAATGTGACACTGCTGTGAAATCTGCTGAGCCAGGGTCTCTAATGCCAGGGTATCAATTGGGGGCGGTTTGCCGCCATGAAAACAGGCACCTTTCTGGCAGCCCCCCAACCTGCTGGGGCTTTGCACCGGACGCTAACGCCTTTGTGATGACTCCATGGGATCGGGGAAACACCTGCCGAGATCTGAGCCGTGTAAATGCCCAGGAAGGAGAGTCATTGTCTAGAATGAACCAAGGGGCTAGAATATAATAACTAAGGCAGTTGGGAAAACTTAGGCTGAATATCAGTAGCTGGGGGACTACTGTTAGGTTGTGGAGCAGTCTCCAGAAGGAAGCTCCAGCCCTGGGGATATTTAAAACAAATCTCAGAAAATATAGTAGTTGGTTCAGGAGATGAGTCACTGTCACTTCAGGCTGCTGGCTCAAATCCAGCCCTGGCTCATAGTGACTGAGGGCCTCATTCACCTCTGTAATGAAGTTATGCCAGTGTAAAGCAGGCCCTGAGAGCTGTTTGGCCACCTTGTGAAATGAGTTTGCTGGGTCTCAGCCCTGTCCCCAATGGACAAGTGTCACCTAAACCATCACCCCATTGATCCTTATTGGTTTCCCCTTAGCAGAGGGACCCAGTACCAAATAGGCAATAGAGACTGACTTCTCTTGTCCTGACGGTTGGTCCCTCTGGCGTAGGGATGAGGCCTTGCCTATACTGTGGATAAACAGAGGTCCGCTACTTCCACTTGTGAACATTTCCCTGTCACGTGATGGCTTCACCATCACAGCTCTGGTGTCTGGTCACACGAGTGAGTCAAATCAGGGCACCAGATGAAAGCAAGCTCCCGTTATGGGGTTAGCTGTGGTTGCTGGGTGACCTCCCCCATCGCATGTCGGTGCGGTCTGTCTCTTCTCCCAGGGGCAGGACTTTACATTTGTTAGGCGTGATTCTCCCCTAGTCGCCTGCAGCCCCCATGCCCAGATTTCTCCAGGTCACGCTGCAGTTCGGCCCCATCTTCTTGTGCCTTTGTCAGGGCGCTGGAACAATTTGAAGGTGGGGGTGCTGAAAGCCATTGCCCAGAACCGTATGAGGGAAGCCAGCATTCCTCTATTATTGCTCCAAGCCAGGGGGTGTTGCCACACCCCAGCGTCACTAGGTCCAGCACTCCTGGCCTTTGTCCACTAACGCCCGCAAACCTCATCGGTGCTGAATTCACACCTGAGAGGCACCTGGCTGGAGGCAGAGAAGGGAATGGGAGTTTCTGATTTTCTTTTTTTAATAGAACCTACAATGGTCCTGGGCTGTGGCCAGCAAGGACTGTCCAGGCTTGGAGACGGACAGGTGCCTTCCTATTGTGCTGGCAGCAGTTTCATGGACTGCCTGCAAGTGCTCGGAAGAGTCCAAGTGTCACTGCTCTAGACCGTAGCCTGAAGCAGCCTGGGTGAAGCAAGTTCCTGAGCCAGTTGCCCTCTTAGGCTGGGGCGAAGGCAGCCCTGGGCTGGGGCAGGCTATGGGCGTACCGTCGGCTTGGACAAGCGTGTGGGGGAGTTAGCTTTGTAAACCTTCCCACCCCTCTCTCGGTGCTCCTGGATCTCAATGTCTCGTAGATGTCCTTTCTCAGAGCTCCTGTTTCGTTGTCTCCTTCCCTCCCAGCCATGCAGGAAGTACAGCCCTCCCTGGGGAAATCTGTTCGTCTCTTCTGCTCCGGAGATTGGAATCCAGAATCCGCACCCCCAAGCACAGAACACCTGGACCCCTTCCTGGAGATGGCTCCTCGGCACCTGCCAAGCCCCCCAAAGAAGGGTTTCCTAGGTATGTCCCATGTTACGAGGTGTGCAGAGGGAGGGTGGGTTATTGTGCCTCTGAGTCTTTGTGCTGTTCCCATGTGTCATCCAGCAATGGCCATGGATAATCCCGGGGGTGGAAACAGCTGGGGTGAAACAAATCCAGCCACGCCCATGTAAGCAGCAGAGAGATGGAGCGCGTGTAACTCCCCAGTCTGCTGACGTGTGACTCTTCTGCACCAAGCTCTAGGAAGCTGTTGCTCAACCCTGGTCTGCTGTTGTGCAAGCCGGGCTGAGCTGAGCATCCATGCACTGACCTCTTTGGAGGTCTCCCATCAAAGTATTTCCCAGCCTGAACCTGCTTAGCTTAGCGAAGAGCCCGGCACGCTCTTGGTGCTGTACAAATAACGAGGCCGGCTTGGGCGAGCGGACTCGATGGCAGCCCGAGGTGGGGTGGCCGTAGCCAACGGGCAGGGAGCGAGTGCGTGTTCAGTTGCCTGGCTTGATCCAGCACGCTGGCCCTTCTGGCTCCTCGGGAAAGAGCGGGTTGTGAGATGCTGCTGTGATGCTGAATCCTCTCTCTGCCTCCCCCGCTTGCCCTCCAGATAAACTCTTCTACATCTACACCTCCGGCACGACGGGGATGCCCAAGGCAGCCATCGTGGTCAATTGCAGGTAAGGGGGGGCTGAGCAGGGGCAGGCCGTTGCTGGGTGCAAGGGGAATGGGGGTGGGATCTGGACCCTGCTAGCAGTGGAGGGCTCTGCTGGGCTGTTGCTCTGGCATGGCTACTGATGCACCCACTTCTCCTGCCCCAGGTACTACCGCATGGCATCCCTGGTGTATTACGGATTCCGCATGAGGCCAGATGACGTCATGTACGACTGCCTCCCTCTCTACCATGCGGCAGGTATCCGAGTCCCTGCTCACGCGTCTCTCTGCCCAAGCCTCTGTAGCCCGTCTCCTTGCCCGTGATGTCGGCAGACTCACAGTCCAGGGGCTGCTGCAGTGACTATCGTTTCATAACCGCCAGCTGCTCTGTGCTGAGGAGGGGCTCGCCCGTCTGTCCCCACTGGATCAGTGTGAAGGACTGGGGTCTTCACAAGGTCCATGGTAGCCACTTTGCAGTACTGGGAGCCCAGGACAAGGCAGCTAGTGGTTAGATCAGGAAACTAGTAGTACAGACCCCTGGGATCTGTTTCTGGCTCGTTACTGGCTCCCTGGGTGACCATGGGCAAGTCACTTTGCCTCAGTTGCCCCATATATAAAATGGGGGTGACCATGCACACCTTCCTCTGTAAGGTGCTTAGAGACCTAAGTGAGGGTATTGAGGGGGCCCATTAGCACCACTAGTGATGGTGACTTTGGGAAATGGGCACCTCCCACTAAGAACCTACCTGAGTCCCTCCAGCTCCATCAAACAGCCCTGGGATAGAGACACCTTCTGGTGCCTATTGGATCCTGGGCTGGATTCAAACCAGATGCCTCAAGGTGAAAGGCTCCATGTCCCCAAGCCAGCCTGTCCCGTTTTTGGGATCAGCCACCCTCTCCCGAGAGGCGGCAGGTTAATGGTTTCCCCCTCGCTCCCCTCTCGCCCAGGTAACATTGTTGGAATTGGCCAGTGCCTCCTCCAGGGGATGACTGTGGTGATCCGCAAGAAGTTCTCAGCCTCTCACTTCTGGGATGACTGTGTGAAGTACAACTGTACGGTGAGGCAGTGGGGGTGCAGGGGCCTCGCGGCGGGACGGGGGGGGGGGTGCAGGGGGAAGAGCTGGCCGAGGAACCCCGAGAATCAGCAACTTGCTGAGAATCCTGGGAGTTGGCAGCGGGGCCCTTGGATGTCTTGAAACCGAGGCTTTGGCTGGCTGTTTCCTGTGGAGAATCACTGTCACTGCCGCTGGGTCTGATGAGGGACAATAGCTTTCGCCCCAGACACCTGCTGTGCTAGGCGCTGTACAAACACAGAACAAAAGCTGGTCCCTGCTGCAAGGAGCTTACAAACCAAGTAGTTCCATGTCCTTTCCCTGCTCCTGTTCTTTGTTGTATCATGCTCCGGAGGGCAGCCAGGGTGTTGCCTCCTGCAAGCAAAACAGGGAATGCCAGACCGGTTATTCCAACTTACGAGGCGGCAGCCCGCTAGGTGGGAGGCACAGAATTAGCAAGCAGGACTCCTGGGTTCCATTCTTGGCTCTGCTACTGACTCACCGGGTGACCTTGGGCAAGTCTGTTCCCCAGCTGTCTCTCCCCATCTGTATAACGGGGCTATTAACACCCGCCTGGCTCCTGGGGGCTCGTCAGGGTTGACGCTGCTCAAGTACTCGGCGGTCCCTGGGTGGAGGGTGCTGTGGAAGGGCGCAGTGTGCCATGTCTCCCTTCCCCTCTGCAGATTGTCCAGTACATCGGGGAGATCTGCCGCTACCTCCTGAACCAGCCGTCCCAGGAGGTGGAGCGGCGGCACCACGTGCGCATGGCGCTTGGGAACGGGCTGCGGATGTCTATCTGGAAGGAATTCATCTCCCGCTTCGGGATCCCCCAAATCGCCGAGTTCTACGGTGCCACCGAGTGCAACTGCAGCCTGGGCAACTTCGACAACAACGTACGGCCCCGTCTGCTGTCTGTGTCCTTCCGCCAGCCGCTGCGGCATCTCCCCACCCCCTGCAGCCCGGTCCTCCCTCCCCCCGGCTGCCGAGGGCGACCGTGATGTCTCATGCAGACACATGGCCTCAGTGCTCCTGGTGGGATGGTTCATGCGCTCCGTGCCCGGAGAGCTGGCAGAGCAGGCCATGGTGAGGGGCTAGGGATGGAGCAGACTTGGGAGGGGATGTCGGGAGACACCCCTTCTGATCCCGGGAGAGGACTGAGCTGGGTAAGCATCCCTCTGCGGGGCAGGTGTGAGGCCCCTCCGCTGATGTTGGCAGGGAGCCCTGAGTGACCTTGGGAAGGCAGCAGATTGTGTCTGGTCTCTGGGGTGGGGTAGCTCCCGCATGCCCTGGGCAATCCCTTTGGCTGGCAGCTGGGGCGATAGGAGGGAAGCGAGGGTGAGGGCAGAAGACTTCCAGCTGCCATTGGGCTATGTCTCTGCGTTCTCTCGATTCCAGGTTGGTTCCTGTGGCTTCAACAGCAGGATCCTGCCTGGGATTTACCCTGTCACCTTGGTGAGGGTGGACGAAGACACCATGGAGCTGATCCGTGGGCCGGATGGACTCTGCATCCCCTGTAAACCAGGTGAAGGGGGATGGGGCGATGCGGGGAGCAGCCTCTGTCTATTGGTACTTCCCTCTGTCCCGTGTTGCATGAGCCCTGAACTAGAGACCGGATTTGTGATTAGCTGCGCAGGAGTCTCCGTTCTGACAAGCATCCAGAAGCATCCTCTGCTGTCATTGGAAACTGTTCCCCCTTTTGGTGGCTCTCTGCACCTCCAGGGCTCCAGTTCAGTAGCGACTGGACATAGTTACCAACCCACGGAGGTTGGGTGTCGGGTGTGAAGTGAGTGTGATGGTTCTCAGCCCAGTTCCCATGTTTCTGCTATCACTATCACAGCTGGCACTCCCTGGCCATCCTGGGGGCAGTTTCAGCGGAGAGCCAGGGACTGAATGGGCCATGGAGACAGGGCAGAGAGAGGAGCTCAGTCGGAGGTCCCTTTGGGTCAGGGTTGAGCTCCGTTGAGAGGGCAGCGTGAGGGAAGCTTGCCGAGGTAAACTGGACACTGGTGCGCTAAGAGATGTTTGTACAATAGAGCCCCCGTGTCCTCCCTAAAGCATCTCCTCTTCCCGCAGAGACAGGACGCGTGCATCCCATGCGGGGCTGGCAATCGCTGTGTACTCTTGTCTCTGATACAGCAGAATGGCAGGGACTGAGCCTATCCCTCACTCTCTCTGCCCGCAGGGGAGCCGGGACAGCTGGTCGGACGCATCATCCAGAGTGACCCTCTGCTGCACTTCGACGGGTACCTGAACCAGTCAGCCACCAGCAAGAAGATCGCCCATGACGTGTTCGCCAAGGGGGACTTGACATATCTTACCGGTGAGGGCCCTTATCCCCTAGCTGCAGAGGGTGCACCCCGAGAGGAGGGGGTTGACGCTGACAGGTTCACTTGGTCTCCAGGGTCGCCTTGCTAGTCCCAGCAAGGCCTTTGGTCAATCCTCTGCTTGCTGTCCCTATCCATACCTGGCGGTCTCGCTCAATCACACTTACCCTTCCAGAGCCTCCCATCTGCCCTCTCTAACCACTTTGCAAACAGGAATTAAGAATCCCAACCGCACTCCCTGACCAAGAACTGGGGCGGGATACTTCATCCTTTTGAGACTCTGAGGGGAAGTGATTTTGTCCAAGGTCACTCAACGAATCCAGTGGCAGGGTCTTGGTATATTGTTACGCCCAGGTTGTTGCTTTAACTGCTTGATCATGCTTCCTTCCACTGCTCCGCGCGGCCCAAGAGCCAGGACTCTTGGGTTCTAATCCCAGCTCTGCCCACGACTCCTGGCAGGCAGGTCACTTCCCCTCTCTGTGGCCCCAGTCCCCAGCTGTTGAATGGCGCTAACAATCTGACCTGCCTCAGGCTGGGGGATAGTGAGGCCTGGCTGGAGGGCAGAGTGTTACGGTGACTCCGACCCTGGGAGCCCGTAGGCGCCTCTGACTTCCTCCGGCTCCCGCAGGAGACGTGCTGATGATGGATGAATACGGCTACATGTACTTCCGGGACCGCACCGGGGACACTTTCCGTTGGAAGGGCGAGAATGTCTCCACGACAGAGGTGGAGGGGACTCTGAGCCGCATCCTCCACATGACAGACGTCGTCGTCTACGGGGTGGAGGTGCCAGGTAACCAAGTGCTCTGCTCTTGCCAGCCTTCCTTTGTCCCAAGTTCGGGGGTGATGGCCCTTCATCCCTTTGGCACTTGGTGCCTGGGCCCTGGTCTCCATCCTGAGAGTCTCATTGTTTATTCTGCTGCATGGGAGAGGGAGGAGGAAAGGTCAGGATTGGGATGCAGAACCTCCCATCTTTAGGCCGTGGGTGCATGAAACACTTTAGGTGAGAGTTTCCAGTCGATCTGGTTTGCCCGGGTGTAAATGACAACACAAGGTGCAGGGCAGAGCCAACCCCATTCTCGCTAACCTCTGGAGTTAACTCCGCCAAAGGCAACTCTAATGGGATGAGGTGGCCACTGGGTATTGCTGGTATCTTGGCTTGTAGGGCAACGGCGTCCAGCCAAAGCCAGCGCAGCAGTGCTGAGAGATTGGGGCTTTCCTGGATGTGTGTTCAACCAGGGGCTGATGCCGGAGACGCTGGCAAGGGGGTCGCTGTTGGGGGCTGAGGTGTATGTATGTGGTGCTGAAGGATGGAGAGTGTGTGTCGCTGATGCATTATTTAAGGTGAGCCTTGGGGCTGTGTGCGTGGTGCCTCTGCCTCTTAAACACATTGCTAACGGCCTGGCATTCCAGAGCCCTCTGGATTATCTGTCTTGTTGTGGGTTTCTGCGGCTATGTTGTGTCTTGTCTTAGGCATATTGCTGCAGGCCTGGCAAGCTGTGTCCAGGGCCAGCTGGCGCACTGAGCTTGCTGAAGCTGCTCCCGCGCTGGGGGGGGTGTGTGTGTGTGTGTGTGTGTGAGTGATTGCCCCAGCCCCCTCCTACTGTGTGCATCACCTTCTGTCCTGTGTTCCAGGCACCGAGGGGAAGGCAGGGATGGCAGCCATTGCTGACCCCAAGAATTCCTGCAACCTGGAGAGTTTTGCCAATGAGCTGAAGAAGGCCCTGCCCTTGTACGCACGGCCCGTCTTCTTGCGAGTGCTGCCAGAAGTCCACAAGACAAGTGAGCCTGCCCCAACTGGGGGCACTTTCCTTTTGAATTGACAAAAAGCTGGGAGTGTTCTCCTGGCTTCCGGAAAGGACCTGTCTGGAATAGGGGAGACTTGAAGTCAGGGGTCTATTCCTGACTGTCACTGATTCAGTGTGTGACCTTAGGTGGGTCACTTCCCCGTCCATGCCGCAGGTTCCCCCTCTAAAATGGGGGTGTCCTGACCTACGGCACGTGGGCTGGGGCGGCTTAATTCTCGGCGTGCAAAGGGACTGGAAAGTCTCGCTTGTTAGCAAGTCCGTTTTTCTTTTTCGCTCCCTCCACTGGGATGGCGTCTGGGCGTTTGACGCCCGTGTACGCTGGTGACCACACGCCTTGCAAAGCTGTAGGGCGCCGGGCCCTGGCTCTTGGATGTCTTAGCCCCTCTGGTTGACTGATTGTGTCTTTAAACCCGGCTGTCGGTAGTGGCACTCTAGCACAAGCAGGGAAGATGTGTGTGTGTGTGTGTGTGTGTGGGGGGGGTGATGGCTGAGGCCTGCACTGTGAGCTTTCCAAGGGGCCATGGTCTGCAGCGCACGGTGAGAGAACGGTGCTGGGGGAACGCACGCTCGCTCAATGTGGTGCTCCGTCCTCCTCTAGGGGTGGTTGGGCCTCATAGCAGAGGGTTCTCAGTCAATAGAGACTCACACTTTGAGATGGACTAAATTCAGTCCCTGATGCAAACGGCTCACCCGAAGGTGCGGCATAGCCCTAGAATCCGGTTAGCAAGGGTTATGTCTGCTAGTCCCATCTCAGCCATGCTGTGGGCAGAATCTGACAAGGGGTGGATGGGCTGATTCTCTCCTTGTGGGTGATCCTAGTGGCAGTGGAGGGTGGCAGGCTTGATTTCCAAAGAGGAGGCACATATTGAGAAGGTGGAATGGAGGAATAGGGATCTACCATGATATCCACAGGCCACCTTCCTTCCCCACCGCTGCCCCTAACCCCTTGCTGCTTCCACCCCAGGCACTTACAAGTTCCAGAAGATGGAGCTGCGCAGGGACGGATTTGACCCCGCCGTGGTGAAGGACAAGCTGTACTTCCTGGACTCCAGGCAAGGCTGCTACCTCCCGCTGGACATGGAGGCCTTCAGGAGGATCCAGTCAGGACAACAGAAGCTGTAATGGGCGAGGCTCTGCAAGTCGCCTCTCGGATCCCTCTGCTGTGTCAGAACGGGGAAGGAAAGGGTTAAAGGATGACACGAAGGGCAGGCGCGGGCTTTATTTAACAAGTTTTACACACGCAGATGGGTGTGTTTGATGGGGTGGGGCAGGAGGTTACGTACCAAAGTATAGAATCATTACGGCTTTATTTTCTACTTCATACCAGAGTGGCCCCCTGGGCTGTGAGCATGGGGTCTTCTATTCATCTATGGCCAGGGATGTGGGACTTTTGCAAGGCCAAGATGGCAAAGATCAGGGGCATGGGACCTTCGCCAGGCCAAAATGGCAGAGATGCGGGGCGCCCACCTTCCACGGGCCTCCATTTCCCTGCCGTTGTTTATTTCTCTCCTTTGCTGTCCTGCTCACACTGCAGAGTCCAAAAAGGGCTGGTGGCAGTAGTGCCTCTCTCAGGCCCCGAAGGACAATGGGGGCCTGGCCCTCCCTCAAAGCAGCTAAGCTGAGGTGAGCTTTGCACTCCACACTGAACCAACCGGCTGGCTGGGGGCCATCATGCAAGGCCAAAAAGATTGCCTTCTTTGCGGTTCACCGTTGAAGCATTGCAACTTTGGGGAGGTGGGGGAGAGCGTACCGGGTGTGGGGGAGGATATTGTGGGGCTCAGAGGAGGGAAGGCAAGTGTGTCTGCCATGCCTCATTCTTTTCAGGGGATGATTTTTCTATTTTTATTATCATACTTTTTTTTTTTTTTTTTTGGCCTTATTTTTTTGTGTTTTTTTTTTTTTAATCTGCCCCAGGTTTGTGTGCTGGGTGACGGGGGCATCCTGGTGCTAAACTACCCTTCTCTTTCTCTTTTTTTCTCACACGAGGACATCCCCCTTCATCTGGGCCTGATTCTTCTCTTCCAGAGGTTAGGGCACAAAGGCCACAGGCAGGCGGTTCCCAGACCTACCTGTCCAGGAGCAGGACGGGACTGGAGCTGTGACTTTGTGGAATTGAGCCTCCTTGGGGCTGCTCTCAGCTGGAGTTTATGCCCCGGGTGAGGGGTGCAATGCTGCTGATCTGGTGTCGTGGCACCTGCCGACCTGGCTGTGTGTCACGCGCCTCACCGTTGTAAAGACCAGGCCATTAATCACATGGCTTTTATCTTCTTGCTCAGATTTTGAGTACCTGCAAACCTTGTTGGTGGGCCAGTGCTCGGCATCTCAGAAATTCCATCTGTTCACGTTCGAAGTGCATCACCCTTAGCCGCATCTGATTCTGTGTGATCCCATAGGGGGGCTGGATGAGAGAGCAGGAAAGATCTATTCAAGGAAAAGCACATGTTGTGTTTACACTGTAGCAAGATGAGTCCTGAGAACAGTGTCTCTGTATGTCCATCTGTCTATCAGCACGGTAGGCATCTGCTTTCTTTGGTATGCTTAGAATCATAGAATATCAGGGTTGGAAGGGACCTCAGGAGGTCATCTAGTCCAACCCCCTGCTCAAAGCAGGACCAATCCCCAACTAAATCATCCCAGCCAGGGCTTTGTCAAGCCTGACCTTAAAAACCTCTAAGGAAGGAGATTCCACCACCTCCCTAGGTAACCCATTCCAGTGCTTCACCACCCTCCTAGTGAAAAAGTTTTTCCTAATATCCAACCTAAACCTCCCCCACTGCAACTTGAGACCATTGCTCCTTGTTCTGTCATCTGCTACCACTGAGAACAGTCTAGATCCATCCTCTTTGGAGCCTCCTTTCAGTTGGTTGAAAGCAGCTATCAAATCCCCCCTCATTCTTCTCTTCTGCAGACTAAACAATCCCAATTCCCTCAGCCTCTCCTCATAAGTCATGTGCTCCAGCCCCCTGATCATTGCCCTCCGCTGGACTCTTTCCAATTTTTCCACATCCTTCTTGTAGTGTGGGGCCCAAAACTGGACACAGTACTCCAGATGAGGCCTCACCAATGTCGAATAGAGGGGAATGATCACGTCCCTCGATCTGCTGGCAATGCCCCTACTTATACAGCCCCAAATGCCCTTAGCCTTCTTGACAACAAGGGCACACTGTTGACTCATATCCAGCTTCTCATCCACTGTAACCCCTAGGTCCTTCTCTGCAGAACTGCTGCCTAGCTTGATACCGGCTGCCAACTAGACATGGAGCCATTGATCACTACCCGTTGAGTCCGACGATCTAGCCAGCTTTCTGTCCACCTTATATGCTGGTGGCGGTCCAACACCCTGCTCCCCCACCCCCCAACCTGTTCTGCCCTCACAGCTAAATCTGAGCACGAGTGATTTGGATTTTCCCAGGTGCTGCTCCCTCTTGTTGGTCGTCCGTTCTGTAGCGGGGGGGGGGGGGGGGGTCTGGGTTGGAAACTGGCACAAGGAAGCTATTTCATGTGACTGGAGGAGAATTTTCACATCCCTCCCCTTGTCAGAAATGTCCTTGGGAAGGGGGAGATGATTCTTACCTGGGGCTGGATGTGAAGAGACCAGCTGCCAAGTGGGCATGTTTGGACTCGTGCCACCCAGGCTTGAATGAAGGAACCTGAGTCTCGCTCACATACTCCTGTGGCTGGCTCCCCAGTCATCCAGTGCGTCCCCTGGCCAAGCTAGAATTTGGGATCCACTGCTCCAAAACCACAGGTCTCTGTGATGTAAGCTAAAGGAGCTTCTCCATCAGTGGCAGTTGTATTATTAGGGTGTAAAGTTATGGCCTCCAGCCAACAGATGGGGGGGCAGTGGCAATACCCCGCTGTAGTGTGAGGAGAGATGGGTTTGCAGACAGTGCAGGCACCACAAGGAGACCTAGTGGATGGGGGGTGACCACGCTGCAGAAGAAGACGACAGGTGTTTGGCAACATTCTGTGGTAAAATCATAGGGTCTGTCTTCACTGTACAGCTAACCTGGGTGATTGGCACTTAGGTCTGGGCACTCAGGTTAGCATAGCTTGGGTGTGACATCCCCACAACAAACCCCTGGCCCCATTAGTGTGTGTGTTTGTGTTCCCCTGTGTGTGTCTGGGGGCCTAGCCCATGGTTTTTGTGCTGAGATGCTCTAGGGGTTTTTTTTCCCCTCAGTCAGTTGTGGGAGAATGTCTGGCCTGCAGGGGGCACTGTGGGAAGGCAGTGGAAGGCTACCAGCACGAGTGATTTTTGTGTGTCTCCCCTTTCTGCAAAGTAGGTGGGTTCCAGCTTGAGTTAAAGCAGAGCCTTGGTTCTCACCTCCCCCCCTCTCCCCCACCCAGTCAGCTAGCCTGGGCTTGAAGCACCTGCAAAAACGGGTTAGAGGTCTTCGTGCGTGTGGTAAGGGGGCTTGTGCTAGAGCCTAAATTAACGGTGTGGACACAGTAGTTTGTAACTTTCCCATTAGTAAGTCCAGGAAAACACCTGGGGGCACCTAAGGCTAGCTAAGGTATGGGGGGAAAAAACCTTTCTTCCTAGTGCAGCCAGGGCCTCTGAGTCAGCCCTCAGCATTTGCAATGCATTATTTTAAGGAAAACAGTGGCTCATTCACCCGTTCTCTCCCTGCATAGTGCTCTCCAGGGTGGTGTAGCAGTAGTCCCAGCCAATGCAGCGTGAGGGCTCTCCAGAGCAAATGACTCTGATCTACAAACCGGCTCAGCAGCAGAGCGTGGGTGGGTGAGCGATCCCAGTCTGGTGGCTTCATTCAGTTTGACTCCAATCCAAAGCCCCCTCTCCATGTCCTCTCCTAGTGAGCGAGCTTGTTCCTTTAAAATTATTCGTAATTCAGCCCATCACCATGAGACTAAATGGTGCCTGAGATCAGTGGGGAAAAGGAGGGGTGGGAGACAGGCACACAATCTACACCCCCTCCTTATTGCCTGGGCTATCCCCGTGTTTATCCCTCTGACCTGGTGGAGAAGAGCAAAGGACAGTAGATATTTTTCTCCCCAAGCCCCATCCCTAGCACCGCAGTGTAACCCAAGGGAGCCCCGCTGGCTCAAAATATCATGAGGGGCTGGGCTCCCTTGGATGTTACGCTGAGGAGGGCCATGTAAATGGAGGGATAGAAGCTGTTGCTTCGCAGAGCTTTAAAAATGGGCCGTATCCCCTGGCACCAGGCCCCGTCTGGCTGGGGAGGAGCTGACTGTGAAGATGAATGAAACAGCTGGTGGCAAGGGGCTTGGCAGCCGCCTGCCCATGCTCCCTCCGCATGCGATGCCCACGCACGTCAGTGGGACTCTGACTTCAGCATAGCTCAGGGCAGGGCTGCAGCGAGGAGAAGACCAGCCTTCAGAGCAGAGTGTTGCCTAATAAACCAGTTCCACATGTGACCCGTTGTTCTATGGGGGCAAGCCGTGGGGTTGAACACGCCCTGCCAGGAAGGGAACGCGTGGTAGGCCGCCCTTCAGAGCAGAAGCCTTGCTGAGCCCCTCCCCATTGCTTTCAGGGGAGCAGTTCCTCGCATGCGCTGCCAGGTGTGTTTCTCTCCTCAGCACTGGGCTCCCTTTCTCCTCCGCTCTGCAATCCACCCCTTCCCCTGTCTCACCGCACTGGAATGTTTCTCCGTAAGCGCGTCCGGTCCCTCCCTCTCGCCTGTCCCAACGAGTCCGTCCAGCAGACAAACGTTTGTTTTCCCGGCACTGACTAGATGTTGAAATAATGACACTCAGGCTGGGGCAGGGCAGTGTGGGATGGTGCTGGGAGGTGGCAGCCCACAGGGCTATCTCTACCCTCAGCCTGGAGGAGGAGGAGTGGGACGGGACCGCTTTCATGTTCTCCTCTGACCATTGTCACATGACCTCATCTGTTTCCACATGTCAAGCCTAAGCCGGGCTTGTAAGTCCTGATGTGAAATAAAATCGTGGGATCATTATGGCCACTAGTGGATTTCAAATTCTCTTGCACTTGGCTTTTAGGCTGGCGTGTTTCACGCTGTGACTGCAGTCCTGGAAACTTGAAATTGAAGCTCAAGTCTATGTTCACAATTGCTAAGATTTACTCTATCCGCCTGCAAAAGGAGGAAGAAACTCCCAACTATCCTCTGATTATATTAGAGCTGTTGCAGCCGACAGAAGGAAGGGTCTGACGGTTAGACTAGGGTCCTGGTAGTCAAGGGTCCTAGCTTCTCTTCGTAGCTCTGCTGATAATTCAGTGAGAGACCTTGGGCAAGTCACTGCCACTTGCTCTGCCTCAGTTTCTCCATCTGGAAAATGAGCTTAGCAGTACCATGCTTCATGGAAGTATGAATCTTTGGGGAATTCATCTGCTAAAATCGAAGACATCTCTACTAAGCATGTGCAAACTACTAAATTTCAAAGGCGTAGGACTTGGCCATATTTGGGTAGACTTTTCACAAGGACAGCAAATGGCAGCTCCCTGATACCTCTTCCCCCCCCCCCGCCCCCCAATTTCTAGTGCCACCACGCTTAGCAGGGACTACAGCTTCTCAAAGAAAAAGTCACCAGCATCTTTTCCCCCTAGCCTTGTTCTTGGAAATGTCTGAACTGTTTTGGCTGAAATTTTCCAAAATAATAATCATAATTAATAATTGAGCCTGAAGTAAATGTCTGGAATGGAAAATTTCAGACCCACTGGTTAAACAACTGAAAATGGATTTGCCACGGGAAGTGTTGGGCAGTTACTCAG